CGGTTCATGCACCTTGTTTTGTCGCGAAGCGTCCCGTTCACGACTCATGGGTCCCACACCTCTCGATCCGTTACACGTGTCTCCCAAAACTAGATCTCGATAATCAGACGGTCAATCCCTGCGTGATCGACGGTCACCATCACTCCTCATAAATGTTGAATTTCTCATCTTCCTTTTGGCATTTTCTCCCATTTTATTTGAATGTATTTTATACTACATGTAGCAATTCTTATATTCTCTGCCTTGAGATATATATGATCTCAATGGGATATTATACGATGATATACGAATAACAATTTATAAATGTCAACTTAAATTCTATTCGAGGGAATATGAATAACAATTATTACTAAAAGATTTATAAAAAAAAACATCATCACAGTTAACATATCGTAGTCTTCTTACACAAAAATAGTAATAAAACTTCTTCAAACGCATCATCATATACATATATTAAAAACTGGCAAATACAAATATGTTTGCGTTTCTTCGAGCGAAAAAAGGGCGAGGGAATACCTTAATTAGATGGAATTCCTTATAGATATTAATGTGTGTGTGTATATATATATATATATATATAATTCCAATATATACAGAGTATGGGCCACAAGTTGCTATATAAATCCTTCCAATTCCTGTTATATTGCCGGAGTTCTGATTGGCAGTACCAGTGGCATCTCTCTCTCTCTCTCTCTCATCATCTTCTCTGAAACTCAAACACATATACAAAAGAAACCCTAGTTTTACGTATAAAAGATCTGCTCTTCTTCTTCCTTTCCGTTCTATCCCCATACCTTTGCTCAGCTTAGTTCAGCAACATCTCCATATCCATCCCTCGGCACATAAAGCAAGAAAACAAGAAAAAGAGGGGGAAACAAACCCTAACCCACATACCGATCCGGCCCCATTTTTTCTCTTCCTGTAATCTGTGAGAAAAGAGCATGGATTCTGACATAATGAACTTGATGATGCAGCAGATGGAGAAGCTCCCCGATTTCTGTAACACTAACCCTAGCTCCCATAACGGACCTCCACCATTTTTCCCTTCCGACCAAACCAACCTCATGCTCTCCAACTCCAACTCCCACCAGTTATTCTTCAACCCAACCCAGATCCAGTCCGACCCGATGACCCAAGAACCCGGTTTCAGATACGGGACCGGGTTGCTCACCGCTCCATCCACCTCCTCTCTCCCGGCCATATCCCCCAACACGTACCCTTCAATGTTTCTCGACAAGAGAGGCTCAAATGGTAACAGCAACAGCAACAATAACAGCAGCAACATGGCTGCGATGAGGGAGATGATCTTCAGGATCGCGGTGATGCAACCGATACATATCGACCCTGAGTCAATAAAGCCACCGAAGAGGAGGAACGTGAGGATCTCCAAGGACCCACAAAGCGTCGCGGCTCGTCACCGGAGGGAGAGGATAAGCGAGAGGATCCGCATTCTGCAGCGGCTTGTCCCAGGAGGGACGAAGATGGATACTGCATCTATGCTCGACGAAGCCATTCATTATGTGAAGTTCTTGAAGAAACAGGTGCAGTCTCTGGAGGAACAGGCAGTTGCCAACGGCGGCGGAAGGGTGGTGATGGGTGGCGGCGGAGTTACGGGGGCTCCGGCGGTGGCTATCGCCGGAATGGGTGGAGGATACGGTGGTGGGATGGTGGTGAAGGGTTGTGGGGCAATGGGGTCTCATCAGATGGTGGGCAATGCACAGATACTTAGGTGATCTTTATTATGATATATTATAATGTTTGAGTCTAGTGAGGGAAAATTAAAAATGAAATTGTGAGACATTCGATTTCTCTTTTTCTCATTGTAGTGATCCGACCATGTTTGTGATGGGTTTAGTTTCGACTCCGTATGTAATTTAACTCTTTAGATGAAGGGGACAAATAAGGGAAGGGGATATGTAACTCAATGATTTGTGAAGATCTATCATATCGTCTCTAATTTAATGATTTCTATACAGAAAGGGCCTTGTTTTTCATGCTTATAATTCATACATACAACACTACGTTATGAATCTCCTATATCGCATGTGTTTCGTTCTTGTTGCATGGAAATTATGTTTTGTGAAGACAAGTTGAGATGCAACTAGATTTCATGTAGAATACATAGATATATAGGTTATATCTATATATATATATATATAACTATATCATTACTTGTAAATATTTCCAATGTTTAAACTTTAAATCCAACGTTCTTAGTAACAATTGTAAATATGTAGTGGTCAGACCGGAGGGAGACAGTACAACAAAACAATATGATTTCCTTTGCTGTTTAACTCTTTCACATATTTTTAAATTTAGTATGCTTATCATAAAATTGTGTCGAATCGCTTAGCCCTAATAGTTGGTAAATGATTTATTCGTATATATAGACAAAAAAAAATTATAACTTTTGATAGGTCCATAAGGCCCATTATATTTATCATAACATTAGGCCCAATAGGAGCTGTTAATATCATTACAGAAAAAACCTCTACAAGGCTTAAATGAACCAAACATATGGGCCTTAAAAAGGGAGGCCCATTAAAATGGAAGAGATCGAACGGTTTAAAGCGCATCAAACGTACATCCCTTACCATACACCACACCTCAGCGGATAAACCCATCACCCTTACCAACAAGGAGGAGGCAACTCGAAGATGGCCTTAAATGGCGCATTGATTGAAACCAGAAAGGCACTGCACTCACACTCTTCTTCTGCACAGCTGTGACTCTCATTTCTTCATCTCATCTTCTTCTTCGTCCTCAGTCTTTCCGCCATGGCAGCTCCGTCTCAGAAGCTTCTCTTCCTCTCTCTCCTACTCCTCTCTCTCGCCCTCATTTCCCTCCCCGGATCCGAATCCTTCTCCGACAACCCCTCCCTTGTTCTCCTCGCTGACGGGATCGGCTGGGAAGGTGACTTCGTCGGAGACGGAGAGGCGGAGGGATACGACGGAGAAGGAGATCGGCGGTCGCTGTTCTGGCAGCGGAAGAGGTACTACATCTCGTACGGTGCGCTTTCGGCGAATCGGATCCCGTGCCCTCCGAGATCAGGGCGATCTTACTACACCCACAACTGTTACAGAGCCAGAGGTCCGGTCCATCCGTACAGCCGAGGCTGTTCCATGATCACCAGGTGCAGGAGATAGAAGACGAATACTATGACTGCGAAGGAAATTTCCGTGTTGCCACTAGTGAATTATGTCGTTAATCGTGATTAGGTTTGTTAATTTTTTGTTAATTCCGAGATTATCAGCGGAGCTATTGTCTTGTAGCTTGTCATGTCATGTCATGTCATGTATCATGTCTCCACCATGTCGGTGTCTTTTATATTATTTTTGTGCTCTGATTTGAATTTAAATCTGGATCACATGTATTGGACTAATATTCGCTCTACCAATATCCTACATATTAATTTGTCAAATAAATAGAATATTATTATCCGAATGTGAGATTCCATTCCCATGTCGAATTGTAACCATTTTCTCGTGTGGGGGGGAAAAATGTCATAACCACTTCCTCACTCGGACTTCAAATCTTTATCTGGACTTTAGGCCCAGCTTCTGATATTGGGCCTTTTAATATATAGGCCCATATCCAAAATTCAATCCGTAAACCCTGTTATATGGGCCGAATTCCCATCACGTGGTTCAATTTTAGAGTACGCCGACATATAGATACACGTGTCCCGCATTATCCATTTGGCGTAAAACTTTGATGAGATATTTTCAATTTAATGCTGTGAGCTCTTGCAATAAAACGGACAGTCAAACGGCGGGCGTTTTCTTTGAAAATTTCAAACAAAATCGAAAATGAACACATCGTACAGAGAAAGTTGGCATGCTGGAGAATGCCCATTGACCCAACTCTCTCTTTTGTTTCTCCATACATTAATTTAAAAAAACACGTGTTTAAATTCGAAGTGCATGAACTTCGTTAGGCCGATGAATTTGGATAGTTTATTATGACCTAAAATTAATCATGCAGAACCATCGTATGATTTTTTTTTGGTCGTCTACCAGTTTTGATTGGACGTCACCTTTCCCACTTCAAAGGGGCAATCATACACTAAATAAATCTGTTTATCAACTTGGAGTCTTAAAGTTTAATATTCTTTTGAATATTTCAAAAATTTTAATTATGCATTAAACCTGTAATCAACTTGACAAGTCATTAAGTTTAATCTTCTTTTGAAGTCAAGTTTCAATTATGCGTTCTCTGTATGAAAGAATATCCCAAAAAATATTCGAGTGTGCATTAATTTGCTACCTAAATTGAATCCAATATAAGAAACTGGTCAGGACCAATAAATAAAAATTGGTGGCAAATTGTTCGTCGTGAGGATAAATAGAAACCGAAGAAAATTCGTAGTTGCCCAACTTAATTTTATTTAATATATATTTCCGCCCCCGTATCTATATTATATATATGGATGGTCCTGGTCCTTAGGGACGGGTTCAGTGAATCTCCCAAGTTGACTGGGCGGTGGGTTCATATCCATTACTCCTAACTTTTCTCCGTTTTATTTTTGAATATAATATTTTGTTCTTCTTATCTTTTACGACGGCCTTGAAATGTTATGTATTGAAACAGAAACAGTTGTTGTATGATTCATTTGCTGTGTCTGAATTTATAACTAACTTTTGATGACATTATTTTATCTGGATCCGTACACATATATATATATATTCCATTTCCAAAGATCTACCAAATAAATTATTGGAGCATATAAATAAAATTTGATGGAAATATTAATAAGATTTTTACTACATCTTACATGTTTTGTATAAATAAGAAAATAGAGTTTCGGAAAATTTGATGGGATACGATATAGGCCATGTACATATCAAATCTCTCTCACAACTGATAAGATGTTTATTTGATATACTACAACGGTATTAAAATTAATTAATATTTAAGTTCAAAGTATGATTGAAGCGGAAACATGGATCTGGTCAACGTCGAGGACAACAAAATAACTATATCTTATAATATGCATGAACCGATATACCTTGTATTACGCCGTCAATTTATTTTATTTCATTTATATCAATCTTTTTTTAATATAAAATAAGTGGTCGCAGCAACTTGTACGTAGTAGGCTCACAACTTCCACCCGAAGATATAGGCATCGCGTCAACCCTTCATTCCTCCTCAATGCATATATACATTATAGTGAATCGGAATTAAAACATTTAGGAAAACTAAATTTGCAACAATTTTTTTTTATATAAAATAGTTATTATTTAAAAAATAAAACAAAAATTATTGGAAACGAAATTCAAGTGGAAGCCAAAATTTCCATCCCTTGCACGTCAATGATGAATTTAAATGATTATACCTTGTATTTTAAAAATATCACCACATTGGATTCTAATAACAAAAACCTTGTACATTACGCCAACGCATATATGCGGCTGAAAAGGCTGCAGTGGCATTTTTCTTTCGGTTACATGAGATAGGAAATACAAATGGATCAAATTACACCAAAGTAGCCGAAAGGAAAAAGATAAAAGGGAAAATTAGGGTTACAATATATATATATATATACGTATGTATTCATGGTAAATAACAGATATGGTGAATTTGGTGGTCTTTGTTACATTTAAGGAACTAATGAGAGAGAAAGAACGTGCCAACAGGTGACGGCTAAGAACCTCAGCTTGGTCTCGATGGACGAGCCCCTTTCCTCGTCACGGTCTGTTTATGTCAGTTATTTCTTTTTCTTTTTATATTTTATATTATATACAAATAATATCGGTCTGAATCGTAATTATTACGTGATCATTTCTAGTGTGTTCTTTTAATAAGAAAATGTAACAGAGCCGCAACTTGCGCAGAGAGTAGTGATGATGTAAGACTTCAGTCTCTGAATTTCCCGCGATTCTCTCGTCATCTTTCCAGAAACTCGTAATTACCATCGTAGAAAAATAAATACATCAATATATATAGATATATGCGTTCATATAACAACTATGCATGTGTAAAATTTGAAAAATATCCCTTAAAAGCAAAAAGCAAGTTGCCGCACCAAATAATTACTATATATAGCAATGTATACGTGGAAATATATATTTCATTACATAATTGGAAGATCAGATGCCGTTCTTATTCAGAAATCATGAATCGAAACATATTATCTCTTAGATTAATATATATGGATGCTCCGATATGAAGGATTTTGTATCGTATACCGTGGTATGGACATTGTTGAACTCCTACCCTTGAAGATATTCGTACAACTTTCTAGTGATGGGAATATACATATATTTATATAGTAATATTGATAAGAAAATACAAATAATGACAGCGTGGAATATTAGGGTACAATTACAAAGAGTGAGATATGCCGGGAGGATCCTATCCTATCCCTACGCACATTAAATAACTTAACCTAAATCCGGTGAAGATATCATACGACTATGGCAAGAAAATAATATAGTTTTGCCAACCTTGGTTCTCGAATTTTCATTTCAATCACCTCAATTTATCAAATGTGAATAAAACAAAAATCAGCATGTTATATGATTGTGATTGGAAGCATATACGAATCATATTTGGCAAAGTGGACAAAAAACGCTTAGTTCGTGCATGGGTATTTCGAAACCTCGAACTAATGAGTTATATAATTGAACTGAGGAGTAGTCGCTGGTATTTCAGAAGAGCCATGAACGATGGCACTAGTAAACATGCAAATAATAATAATAATAATAATAATAATTACGACAATCATTATAGTTTATTGCATTAAATATAACAGCATGTTACACAGTTATCACAGATGGAAAAAATCTGAGCCGCGTGGGACAACGAAAGATATCAGGAGAGATCTCAGGCCAAACTTTCCAAATCTGAAGCTGAATAAGAGTCGTGCGATATTTATTTACGCGCTCCATTGGAAATCGCACGTTATTCATTTCGTTTTTTTAGCAGTTAGTAACACCAAGAAATATCTGCTCTCGTCACGTGCATTAATTATCCCCACAATTTCAAACCTTTTTTGAATTAATAAATCATATTATTATAATAGGATCGAAATTTCTACGAAATCGGTATATAAATAAAGAGGAACTTTGCGCCGAGGAGCCACAAGCAATAGTCACGAGCTTCGTGCTCTGTTATTCCTCACCTTCGTTTCTCCCTACTTGCCAAGGAAACCAAAACCTATCTGGATTCAAAAAGAGGAAACTTTCCTTCGCAAATCACCCAATTCGGACAACCCCATAGTATAATTTCTTGAATTTCCTCGAGAAATGGCATCTGGGATAGCATCCATGGACTGGGTTCGAGGAGAAACTATCGGATACGGGACCTTCGCCACCGTGAGCTTAGCGACGCCGGCGAGTAAATATTCCGGCCAATTCCCACCACTGATGGCCGTGAAATCCGCAGACTTTTACGGAGCCGCATCTCTGGCGAACGAGAAATCGGTGCTGGATCAGCTCGGTCACTGCCCTGAGATCGTACGGTGCTTGGGACACGATCAGACGGTCGAGAACGGCCAGGAGATGTATAACCTGTTCTTGGAGTACGCTTCGAGAGGAAACTTGGCGACCCACGTCAAGAAATCCGGCGGAAATGGACTACCGGAATCCGCTGTGCGCGGCCACACCCTATCGGTGCTCCGGGGACTCCGTCATATCCACGCCGGTGGCTTCGCTCACTGCGACATAAAGCTCGGGAATATTCTGATTTTCGATGACGGCGCCGTTAAGATCGCTGATTTCGGGCTGGCGAAGAGAACGGGAGTTGTAGACGGAGAGGAGACTGCGTCAGAAGGGTTGCAGATCAGGGGAACGCCGTTGTATATGGCGCCGGAGTCGGTGAACAACAATGAGTACGGATCACAAGCGGACGTGTGGGCGCTCGGATGCGCCGTAGTTGAGATGTTCAGCGGCAAAACGGCATGGAGTTTCAAGGAAGGCTCGAACTTCATGGCATTGTTGATGCGCATCGGTGTCGGAGACGAACTTCCGAGGATTCCCGGAGATTTATCGGAAGAAGGAAGAGATTTCTTGTCGAAGTGCTTCGTTAAAGATCCCAAGAGGAGATGGACGGCTGAGATGCTTTTGAGCCACCCATTCGTAGCCGTCGATCTTGGCCACGATGATCATCATCAACGAGAAGAATTCGTCGTTGGATTGAAGAAAGAGAAAATTTCGGCGTCACCCAAAGGGCCATTCGATTTTCCCGATTGGGTTTCAGAATCGTTGGATTCACAGACGCAATACCAGCCGTTCGATTCGCCGGACGAGAGAATCGGCAATCTGGCAAATGACAGCTTCCCCGATTGGTCTGTCACGGACAATTGGGTCACCGTCCGGTGATTAGAGTTGGATAAAACGTGGGAAAACAGAGTCGCGTATTAGAGTTGTTTCCCTGTTTTTCACAGATTTTTTTCATGTCTTAATTCCAGTTAGGGTCAGTCGAATCCAACGGTTATAATTTATTCCGTTGGATAACCATTTTGTTGATGTAAATAATCAAATTAATCTTTGTTATTGGAGATTTGTATGAAAACTCGATTCGCGTAATTATTATTTCTGCATGGATTTTCAGACTTCCTTGCTATTTTCCCTTTGTGTGACTTTCAAATTAATTTTTCCCATAATACGATATAGTCATGAAAGAGAGAAAGAAAGAAATACCGGTACCGGTCAATCGGTACGTTGTATGAAGCAAGAATATCCTTAGCTTTATATCCAATGAACCCGAATGATAAATTTAGAGCCTTTATTTAACATTTTATACTTTGATGAATAAATTAATGTCCTATTTTCTTTTTTTTTTTCCGTAAAATTTATAGCTTGAAACTGGTACATGGGATAAAAGGCCCATTGGGTTTGAAGAGCCGATTGTAGGCCCATTATAAATTATGGGCCTATTTTTTCCGGTCACATGGAAATGGAAAGAACCATTTGAAAATTGAATCCGTGTCTGATTCAGATCTCCATTTAGGCGCGAAAACCCTAAAGTCTTTCCCGCCATCCTCAGCGATCATTTACCCTGTCTAAGCCAGACTTCGATCTCCATCGTCGCGGGAACCCTAAATCGGCTCTAAACGGAGAAGAAAAAAGATGACTGACGAGAACAATTTGGAGAATGGCAGAAGACGCGGCCGTGGTGGGGAGGCGGCAGCGGCTAGGAAGGAGGCAATCGAGCGGCTGAAAGCTATTAAGCAAGGGGGTCGCCGAAATCTATCTTCTTCCGGCGGCGGATACGACATCAAGCTGGAGAAGCCGATCTATGACACGGTCGACGATAAGGAGTACGAGGCGATTGTTGCGCGGCGGCGGGAGGAGGTGCGAGGTTTCTTGGTAGACGACGGAAGCGGCGGTCTTGGGTATGTCGACGAGGGCGAGGAGGAAGATTGGACGAAGGCCGGTCTTCCTGAGTCTTCGGATGAATCTGATGGCGAGGGTCGGTTCAGTGGCAGATTGAGGAAAAAGAGAATCGAGAAAAAGGGTAAAGACCAAACCCAGCAACCGCAGGCTAAGAAGACGAATCCCTCGCTTACGGCTGCGGCGGCGATGATGGGCAAGCAGAGGCTTTCTTCGATGTTCACATCATCGGTTTTCAAGAAGGGCAAGGAGACTGATAAGGTAAAGTGCGAAAGCATTGTTGACGAGATAATAGCAGAGTTGACCCCAGACGAAGCCGATAGAGAGAGGCATAAGAGAGGGAAACTGGGTACGGTTTCAATCACCTCCTCTAGGGACAAGAATCGGGGTTCGGATGCTCCGAGCATATCAAAGCTTGACCCAGAACCTGTAACACGAGGTTCTGCAGCTTTCATCGATCAAGATAGCCGAATTTCCATGGAAAACGAGTTTTCGAAGGAGGTAAAAGAGGAAGATATGGCAGAGCCCGATGTTTGTCCTACAGAGAGTGCTGAGCATATCAAATTTATCGCAGGGGAAAGTGTTATCGATGTAAAATCGAATGATACAAACCTTGTTGAGGAGAAGATCCAGCCAGACGTGAAAAAAGAAGTATTTACATTGAATGCGAAAATCGATGTCAAAGAAAAGGATCCTGCTTTAAGCGCCACTGCTGGTTGGAAGGAGGTAATGAACAGAGGTGGAGGTGAGAATGGCGCTGTGGCTGGGTCCAACTGTGGAGTGCAATCTGATTTTGATTTGGACGAAGATGGGTCTCTACGATTTTACATTCTCGATGCTTATGAGGAACATTTTGGTGCGAGTATGGGCACAATCTATCTGTTTGGGAAGGTGATTCTCCATTATTCTTTGGCTGTTTGGCTGCTTTCTGAATTTACGCGTTAGGGTTGTGGATTTCTGATATCCTGTTTCTACAAGTCAGGTTAAAACAGGAACTACATACCAGAGCTGCTGTGTGGTGGTGAAAAATATCCAGAGATGCGTGTATGCCATTCCAAATGATTCTGTTTTTCCATCTCATGAACTAGTCATGCTTGAGAAAGAGGTTGAAGATTCTCAACTTTCTAAGGAATCCCTCCGAGGAAAGTTGCATGTGAGTTTGTTTTTCCAACATTCTAAAGGGATGCAATGTCATCCCCATATGTTATTTACTGTTCTTAGCAATGTTTTCTCAGGAAATGGCTTCGAATCTCAAGAACGAAATCGCTGAGAAGTTGTTGCAGCTCAATGTTTCAAGTTTTAGCGTGACACCTGTCAAGGTCTGGATATTAGTTCACTTGTTTTCATGAATACTAGCAGCAATATGTTTGTTTTGACTTTGTTTCTCACTTGACGCGCTATGGATGAATTTCAGAGGAACTATGCTTTTGAGCGGTCTGATGTGCCTTCCGGGGAGCATTATGTGTTGAAGATAAATTATCCATTTAAGGTATATTTTCAGTGTTCTAACTTCTAATCAAATTAACCTAAGATGGTTTAGGCCTTAAGATTCTTTGGTTATGCTTTACAGTCTAAATGTAAGTTATAAGTGCTCTTCCTTTGTTACATAGGATCCTCCACTTCCAGCAGATTTAAAAGGCGCGACTTTCTGTGCTTTACTTGGGACTCATACCAGGTTTAAGCTGTTTACTGCTTGTTTTTGTTACATTTCCCTGTACATGGTTGTTGGTCAGTCAAGTTTGCATTTTCTTGATTTTCATGAGCTTCTTACTGAAGTGTTTAACACATTCGACTTATTGTAAACATTGTGCAATTCTCCTCTGCTTATACAGCTGTTTATATGCAGTGCTTTGGAACTTTTTATCATTAAAAGGAAGGTCAAAGGGCCTTCTTGGCTATCAATTTCAAACTTCTATATCTGTCCACCTTCTCAACGGGTAAGGCTTTGAAAATTAGGGGCATCTTAATTATGCTATGAACAGTCAATTATTTCCAACAATTTGGTTCCTAGCATGACTTATGGGTTTGATCTTGTGCAGGTGAGCTGGTGCAAGTTTGAGATAACTGTTGACTCTCCTAAGGTTATTTCTGGGTTGTCTTCAAAGTACGAAGCTGTCCCTTTTGTTGTTGTTACAGCCATAAATCTAAAGACTATAATCAATAAAAAGCAGAACATCAATGAAATTGTCTCCGCATCTGTTATCAGCTGCCATAAAGCGAAGGTTTGTTCTATAACATTTGACTGATGCTTCTTAGGCTGTTGTTTCTGTGTTCGTACTCACAGCATTACCTAATGATTCTTACTATTCACGTTAACTTTGAAGCATGTGGAGGGACTCAAAAGTGTTGTTTTTTCTGACAAATTTCCCTTCCTCACAATTCAATGCTTTCTTATATCTATGTTTTTTTCTTTGTGTTTCATAACATATGATACCCATATAACTTTGTAGGGTCTCTGCTCTACGCCGATCAGTTCTCTTTTGCTGATTAGTTTCCATAGTTCTCTGGTTTTCATAGTTTCTTAACCAAGGGAATGTTCCTTTTGATCTTTTAGATTGATGGTCCAATGTTAGGCTCTGAATGGAAGAAACCTGGCATTCTTAGTCATTTTACTGTTGTTCGGAATCCTGATGGAACCATTTACCCAATGGGTTGGCCAAAAGAAGTGGCAGACAGAAACTCCAAGACTGGATGCAATGTTCTAAGCTATGAAAACAGGTATTTTGTTAATTCTATTGTGTGCACCAAATGGATCTTGGACAATTTGAGTTGTCTTTTCTAATTCTTTTGAAAATTATGCTGCAGCGAAAGAGCATTGCTAAACAGATTGTTTTTAGAACTGAACAAACTGGACAGTGATGTTCTTGTGGGGCATAATATATCGGGGTATGATCTGGATGTTATTCTTCAGAGAGCTCAGGTACTTTAATTTTCTTCCTAATTTTTTCCCTTAGGAAAAAATGATTAAATATCCTTACCGTTTTCTGTAACCACTGGCAACTCTGCAGAAGACATGATTGTCCTTAAACAAATGTTAGACGAACTAAATGGGTTTTGGATGATACAGCTGCTGTATATTTTGTCCATTTTCTCATTTCTCCCAAAGACCTGATGATTCCTTTTCTCATTTTCTCACTCCAATGCAGGCTTGCAAAGTTTTAAGTAGCATGTGGTCGAAACTTGGTCGTCTCAGGCGCTCTTTCATGCCTAAACTTGGTAGAGGAAACACTATGTTTGGCTCAGGAGCTAGCCTGGGGATCATGTCTTGTGTTGCTGGGAGGCTCTTGTGTGATACATACCTGTGTTCTCGTGACTTGTTAAAAGAGGTACGATACTCAACTTTTACGAGTAATGTGCTCAAACTCAGTAACCTGACGTATACGTATTTTTTCTTCCAGGTCAGTTATTCTTTAACACAACTTTCGAAGACACAGCTGAACAAAGACAGGAAAGAGATAGCACCTCATGATGTACCCAAAATGTTCCAGACATCCAAATCACTTATAGAACTTGTAAGTTCTGACAGTTAGCTCACTTGCATGTCAGTTTTTCTTTTGTTTCTGAGACACACTTCTTGTCTGTTTTATGTATAGTAATGTACAGATGGGATGTCATTACCTATTTAGATGGTGTCTTTTAAGGATTTCCTTGCGAGAAAAAACAAACTATCGGTGCACGTATTGATGAGAAGGAATCACATGTTTGGGTTATATGTAGGAGTAAAACTAATTTCAGATATCATGCTTAGGATTATTAGAAATGATCTCGTATGCTGACTTACCAGAATGTTTTTGTGTTCGTGACTTCAGATTGAATGTGGCGAGACAGATTCTTGGTTATCCATGGAGCTTATGTTTCATTTAAGTGTTCTCCCACTCACTCGCCAACTGACTAATATTAGTGGCAATCTTTGGGGAAAAACTCTCCAGGTAATATCCTGCCTTCCTCAATTCTTCCCCACAGTTTTGTTTTGGGTTTCTAGAAAAATCATACCAAGCCAGACTCATGATCTTTTTTCTTCGTTATTACTAGGGAGCCAGGGCGCAGAGAATTGAGTACTATTTATTGCATGCTTTCTATTCGAGAAAGTATATTCTACCAGATAAAAATTCTTCTCATACTAAAGAAATAAAATCGGCGAAACGAAGAATAAATTATGGTCCTGAGGGTCAAAATGTAGATGATCAGGACCTCGACGATGCTCACCTGGCGAATGATGTGCATCACAGCAGCAAAACAAAAAAAGGACCTGCCTATGCTGGTGGACTTGTGTTGGAGCCAAAGAGAGGATTATATGACAAATATGTATTGCTTCTCGACTTCAACAGCCTTTACCCCTCTATTATACAGGTTAGTAGACTGTTTCCTGTTTTACATTTCTGTTGGCTGTTTCCACTTGTTCATTGCTTTGTAGCTAAAATTGGATATAACTGGTTTCAGGAGTATAATATTTGTTTCACAACTGTTCCACGAGAAGAAGACGGAATTCCTCGTTTGCCATCAAGTCAGACAACTGGAATTCTACCTCAGGTATACTTGGCACTGAATGAGTTGCTTTGTACACTGGACTTTTCTAGTATCTATAGAACCGATTGTTCATGGATAGTGAGAATCAGCAGCTAATTCACACAATCAATGTTCACAGACGTATATTATATTCTTCACTGCTTTCTGTACATCAATTAAACTAATCTTTGACTCATCTTCTGAAACCATTGCTCTTATGTCTGGGCTGACAAGGGTAAATGTTGAATTTCAATATTTTTTGGTCTAGTTGCTGAAAGATTTGGTCAGTAGAAGGAGAATGGTCAAATCCTGGATGCAAAAGGAAACGGGTCTCAAGTACCGTCAATTCGACATTCAGCAGCAGGCGCTGAAACTCACAGCCAATAGGTAAGTATTCATGGTTATGTTTCTCGTCTCTTTCAAATCAGCTAGTATCAGTAACACTTTGCTATTCGTCTAAACACAGTATGTATGGATGTCTCGGGTTTTCCCATTCAAGATTCTACGCAAAACCTCTTGCAGAGCTCATAACTCTACAGGTAGGTTGTGTTTCTGCGTCTATTAGTGAGAGAGTTATGGATATGATTCTTCGTGCCATCACCAAAACTGCCAAACATTTCAGGGAAGGGAGATCCTGCAAAGAGCTGTGGACCTTGTCCAGAACCATTTGAACTTGGAGGTCATCTACTATACCTCGACTTATATCAAGTCTCTAGAGGGACATTTCATTATAGAAATTAGTATCATGTTTCAATGTTCTCTTTTTTCAAATCTAGAATGAAAATTTTGTTTTTTGTGCAGGTAGTATATGGTGACACAGATTCCATCATGATTCACAGTGGACTAGATGATATCACAGAGGCAAAAGCCATAGCAGCAAGAGTCATTCAAGAGGTACAATTTTGTGACTTCGACATTCTGTCTCTTGTTGCACGAAACATTCTGAAATGGCTTTCCCTACATTATTACTGTTTTGTAGCTCCTTGAAAAATGGTTTCCTATGCAAAATAGAGAAACGCTTTAGTATTGATTGTTGTGTTATGGGCCCTGATATGCTGTTGTAGACAATTACATGACAACTGTGATCAGTTGATTTCAAGTCTCATCTTTTCTCTTTCAATTTCTAGGTTAACAAGAAGTATAGGTGTTTAGAAATTGACCTCGATGGCCTATATAAGAGAATGCTTCTTCTCAGAAAGAAAAAATATGCAGCTGTCAAGTTGCAGTTTAAAGATGGGAAGCCTTATGAGGTAATCTTTAATTTTTGTTTGTCCTGGTTACTGTTGCTCGTATAAAATATCTGAGCAATAGCTGCGTTCTCAATTCAGGTCATTGAACAAAAAGGTCTGGATATGGTTCGTCGTGACTGGAGTGTTCTTGCGAAAGAAATCGGAGACTTTTGCTTGACTAAAATCTTGTCAGGAGGGTATGTTCTCAAACCATGGCCGTTGCTTTTACTCGTTTTGCTGAGGAGAATAGTGTTGACTGGCATCTACCCTCATCTTCTATGCAGGTCGTGTGAGGATGTTGTCGAAGCAATACATAGCTCTCTCATGAAGGTGATTTCGTTACGAATTAGTCATTAGCCTTCTTCTCTCTGTTGTTTTCTCTCTCTTCCCAATATCTACTGATTGCACTACTAATAAGTTTAAGAAATCTGTTGCTTTCTTAACAAAACAGATAAAAGAGGAGATGAGAAGTGGACAAGTTTCGCTTGAGAAGTATGTCATTACCAAGACATTGACTAAACCACCGGAATCTTATCCAGATGCCAGGAGCCACCCACATGTTCAAGTGAGTATAATAGCTTCCGTTATCCAGATCATGCTTATTGTTTTCATGCTGGAACTTTCCTCTCCGAGTCTCTGATGGAATATGGCCTAACCACATTTTCAGGTGGCGCTCAGATTGAAGCAACGTGGTTATTCAACTGGTTGCTCTGCTGGTGATACCGTGCCTTACATAATCTGCTATGAACAGGTTTCCAACACAGAAAGCCACCTCTTTGTTACGGGAAATTTTGGTACTCATATTTTCTGGCTTTCTACTCAATTTCCTCACATTTTTTTGCATCATTGCAACTTTACAGGGAACTAGTAGCTCTGCTAGTTCAGCGGGGATTGCTCAACGTGCAAGACATCCTGACGAGGTGACATCAGGCGATGGCATATGGTTGGTTGACATCGATTACTACTTATCCCAGCAGATTCATCCGGTGGTTTCGCGTCTATGCGCTGAGATTCAGGGCACAAGCCCTGAGCATTTAGCCGATTGTTTAGGACTCGACTCTTCAAAGGTAAAAAACACTTGTTTGCAGTAGTAGTATCTCTGGTTCTCACCCACTGATCAAATCCGTATCTTTGACGACTTTTGAAAAATAATTTCCTGCTGTAGTACCAAGGTAAATCAAATGAAGCCAGCAGCAGTGATCCTTCTAGCATGATGTTTTTTGGCCCAGACAATGGGGAGAGGTAACAATGCCCAGTCCCAAATCTAAATTTCCTTAATCTTTATGGCCTATTCTTTTCCTCTAGATAGATGAGGACATAACAAAAACATTCTTGAATATTCAAGACTTGTAACCACAGTTTTTTTTTTGAAACTGCAGGTACAAAAGTTGCGAGCCATTAACATTAACATGTCCCAGCTGCTCTGTCGCTTTCAACTGTCCTATTATACTGGATTCTATTAGTGCGTCAATCACCGAGAAACATGTGAAAACTGAAACCGAGGAATCAGACCATTTTTTCTGGCTTAAACTGCGTTGCCCGAAATGTCCACAGGAAGGTGACATGGGAAGAATATCTCCTTCAATGATAGCCAACCAGGTAGGCATCAATATCTTAAAGGATTTTTAACTTGAGTTTTCCAAGCAAATCTCGGTCTCTTGGTTTATATTCGTAAGATGTGTATGTCGTTTTTCAGTCCTGTGATTATTATGCCCGAGCAAAAAAATCTCTGTTTCTTACTGCTCCGTATACAAACATAACTACTTAGATTGCTAAAGACATTTTCTGACATTGTTTCAGGTAAAAAGACAAGTTGACGGGTTCTTTTCGAAGTATTACAAGGGCGTAATGACGGTACCTTTACCTTCTTCTTGCCCATACCATGTTTATAGTTCCCGATTGCGAAATCATTCAAGCTTATAACTTCTTTGCCATTTTAGTGCGACGACGAATCTTGCAAGCTCACAACCCGGTGCCTCAACATGCGTCTGCTTGGTAGCTCTGAAAAAGGGACAGTTTGCCCGAATTATCCACACTGCAATGGAACCCTCCTAAGAACGGTATTCAGTCCCTCGTAAAATTATATCTCTGTTGGTTGAATTTCTTTTAGAACATAAGTTCTGATTGCAAAAACTTGTCTGCCCCACACAGTACACCGAAGCAGAATTGTATAGGCAACTCTCATACTTCTGCCATATCTTGGACACAGAATGCAGCCTAGAAAAGGTTTCCTTCTTTTTTCTGGGCTTATACTCTTTTTTGTTTCATCTCTCGATTGCGAAACTGTAATTCCGTTTGTCATTATATTGCAATGGCAGATGGAAGTTGGTCTCAGGCTTCAAGTTGAAAAAGCAATGGCTAAGATAAGGCCAGTGGCGGAGCTAGCAGCTTTGACAGTACGAAGAATCCGAGACCGGTGTGCTTATGGATGGCTGCTGCTCTCAGACATAACCATCTGATCAGTTGTAATGTAAATAAACACAGGAAAAAAACTTAAAAGAGGATCTTCCAGACATGATTGTATAGAATAAATGTTGTGTTAAGTCCTGGAAGGTTGATGGGAAATCCGATCAGCTAAAGACGGATGGCGCCTTTCATTATTTGCAAAACCTGAGGACTTGTTTCTTACAGAGGAGACACGAATTATGGGCATTTAGCCATTGCATGATACATGCAAAGTGAAATTCATGGCCACAGTTTATGCTAGACATATCACGACACATTAATACATCTAAACATGTCACACAATGTTCATCATCATCATCATCATCTTCTTCTTCTTCATAATTCCTCCTAATCAGATTCTCATCTATCCCGCAGCAGACATCTCCCACCCTTTCTGCAAGTGCCATTATTTTCTGATGACCGTCAAAAATATTTTTTTTGGATATATAGAAACCCACAAACACATTTACTGTACATAGATTACTTTGTCGGTATATGTATATATATATATATATATATATATATATTCAATTATGTACCTCGTATGTTACGGTGTCTGTGTCGGAAAATAAATGTTCTTGTGATGCTTCATGTTCTTCCCTAGACGACGCATGTAACCACTGCTCGAACATTACAAGCATTTCCTGCCATTTTCGCCCACATGATTCATATTTCTCAATCTCATAATTTCTTGTTGATCTTATAAGTTCGATATTCTATATATATATATATATATATATGTGTGTGTGTGTGTGTGTATCATCATGTAAGCTTTAAAGTCTCATGTGATCATACCTGAGTAGGCAAATGGGGCAGCCTCAAGGTCGGGTTAGCTCCGACCAGCGAGTCGAGGAACTCCTCCGTCCGGTCACTATCGCTCATTTTCGGCGATGTAACTTCCGACACAACCAGTGAGTCGCCCATTTCAGCGCTTGCGTTTGCGTTTGGGTCAGCGTTTTGAGCCCAATACCCGGGGTGAACGGTCGGGAAGGTGTCCCATCGAGACCAATCTTCCCCACACAGTAGTCTCTGAAAACTGAAAGGACTGTTCGAAAGATTGGCAAATTCATCGGCATAGTCCGTGACGATGACACGTGGCTCCTTGTTGATGAGCCACGTGTCGGCATTAACGTCACTGCCTTGCGTGTTGTTTGTAAAGTTCATGGCTTTTGATGCAACGAGTTCAACTTGCTCCGCCACCTGCGCAAGATATGTCAAACGGTCCATTAGACCAGTATTACAAGTATATTAAGTGAAGTATTTCTGATGATAATTTTGTTAATATTTTTAAAATATACAACACTGTTTTTTTTAAAAAAAAATTAGAGACTAAATTATTTTTTCAGAATCCAAATTTGAGTGTTTAGTGATAAGAGAACATGCAAATCATGTTTTTATCCTGGTTCAAATCCAAATTTCACCTGGACTTCTCCAATCTTCCGGGAGATGTAGTTGAGCCAAAGGTTTGGTAAACTTTTGAATTATAAAAAAAAAATATATATTTTCAGATATATGCTACTTTCAGCAACTATCAATTAAGGATAGGAATAACCATGATCTAAACCATAAAAGGGAATAAAGAAAAGATTCCCCGTAGGAGGGACGAGAGCAAAAACAGGCATAATATCTATTGATTGTAGAAACTTTCATCCGAAAATAGAAGAATATATATATCCTTATGGCTCCATCCATGCAAAAAAGATTTAAATGTAAATGAAATACTAAATAAAACATCAAATCTAATTGAGCAATGACACCATTTTCTTACCAAAAAGAAACACAGATAGCGAATGAAGCACTCATGAAATGCTGTTCACTCACTTGAATGTTTTTTTCTTTATAAATTCGGATGTAATGTACATACATATATACATACATACATGTATATGGACGATAACGAATAGTCTTTGAAATCAAATTCTTCAAAACAAACAGTTGAAACACCGATAATATACTCAGCACAATGAAAACCTCGAACGATTTATGAATTAAGTCAGTACGGTAATGAGATTTTTTCTTCTTCAAAACGACGTTAGTTAAAGTTTTTTGCCGATATTACTGATAATCTTTTTTTTTTTCAAATGAGAAACAAATTAACAAGAACAAAGCTTTACCTGAAAACGTTTTCTAATATTCATGACGAAAATATATCCCGATAAACTATCAGAGATCCATATATATATATATATATATATCTGTTCAAATCATAACTTGAGCAACACGGAATATATACGTAAAAAACGATATAAATATGGCAAAAAGGAGGTGATTGATGTTCATACATACCAAAGGAGATTATAGACGAGGTCGATTGGGAATCAGGAAGAAAAACAACAAACCGAAAATGATTATAATGAGATTTCGAGTGCATATGAAATTTTGTTGTTTGCCCAAGAAAAATGGCCACCCATCACATCTTTATATAGCCTAGGACCTAGCAAAATAAGGGAAAATATAAAAAATTAAGGGAAAAAAAATTCATTTTACAGAGAGATTCGAACTCATATTAATAATAGTTCAGTAGAACCTCGAATGATTTATGACATGCAATTATCATGAAATAATATCTTTTTTAAAAAAAGGAAAAAAATATCAGTCTACACAAACGACATACCATGATGTATGAGATTCAAAATGCTTTTTACCTTTAATAGAATGAAGAATTTCCAGCCTGTTTTTTTCTTGTCAAATAATAATAATAATAACAATAATAATATGACCACATTCGAATGTGTATTTAGAATCTTACACTCATAAATTTACATAAATACTATGAAACTGAGCTACAGAGTTGATAAGATTCATATAATATGAATCCATGCAAAAATACGTCAAGCCAGCACGAAATCTGTTAAAATAAAATTTAAAATTTGCAAATTGCAAATTGGATTGGTCGTGGTCGATGTCTAGGGGTGTAAAATGCGTTCGGACCCGCGGACTGGCTCGCAAACCGACCCATGTTATTCTGAGCTGGGCTGATTATAATTGAGCCCAGAAAAAAACGTGCCAAACGAGCCGACTCGTCACGGACTGGGCTCGTGGTGAGCCAGTCCGCCACGAGCCAGGCTAGCCCGCGGGCCAACCTCGTATGTTACGGTGTCTGTGTCGGAAAATAAATGTTCTTGTGATGCTTCATGTTCTTCTCTAGACGACGCATGTAACCACTGCTCGAACATTACAAGCATTTCCTGCCATTTTCGCCCACATGATTCATATTTCTCAATCTCATAATTTCTTGTTGATCTTATAAGTTCGATATTCTATATATATATATATATATATATGTGTGTGTGTGTGTGTGTATCATCATGTAAGCTTTAAAGTCTCATGTGATCATACCTGAGTAGGCAAATGGGGCAGCCTCAAGGTCGGGTTAGCTCCGACCAGCGAGTCGAGGAACTCCTCCGTCCGGTCACTATCGCTCATTTTCGGCGATGTAACTTCCGACACAACCAGTGAGTCGCCCATTTCAGCGCTTGCGTTTGCGTTTGGGTCAGCGTTTTGAGCCCAATACCCGGGGTGAACGGTCGGGAAGGTGTCCCATCGAGACCAATCTTCCCCACACAGTAGTCTCTGAAAACTGAAAGGACTGTTCGAAAGATTGGCAAATTCATCGGCATAGTCCGTGACGATGACACGTGGCTCCTTGTTGATGAGCCACGTGTCGGCATTAACGTCACTGCCTTGCGTGTTGTTTGTAAAGTTCATGGCTTTTGATGCAACGAGTTCAACTTGCTCCGCCACCTGCGCAAGATATGTCAAACGGTCCATTAGACCAGTATTACAAGTATATTAAGTGAAGTATTTCTGATGATAATTTTGTTAATATTTTTAAAATATACAACACTGTTTTTTTTAAAAAAAAATTAGAGACTAAATTATTTTTTCAGAATCCAAATTTGAGTGTTTAGTGATAAGAGAACATGCAAATCATGTTTTTATCCTGGTTCAAATCCAAATTTCACCTGGACTTCTCCAATCTTCCGGGAGATGTAGTTGAGCCAAAGGTTTGGTAAACTTTTGAATTATAAAAAAAAAATATATATTTTCAGATATATGCTACTTTCAGCAACTATCAATTAAGGATAGGAATAACCATGATCTAAACCATAAAAGGGAATAAAGAAAAGATTCCCCGTAGGAGGGACGAGAGCAAAAACAGGCATAATATCTATTGATTGTAGAAACTTTCATCCGAAAATAGAAGAATATATATATCCTTATGGCTCCATCCATGCAAAAAAGATTTAAATGTAAATGAAATACTAAATAAAACATCAAATCTAATTGAGCAATGACACCATTTTCTTACCAAAAAGAAACACAGATAGCGAATGAAGCACTCATGAAATGCTGTTCACTCACTTGAATGTTTTTTTCTTTATAAATTCGGATGTAATGTACATACATATATACATACATACATGTATATGGACGATAACGAATAGTCTTTGAAATCAAATTCTTCAAAACAAACAGTTGAAACACCGATAATATACTCAGCACAATGAAAACCTCGAACGATTTATGAATTAAGTCAGTACGGTAATGAGATTTTTTCTTCTTCAAAACGACGTTAGTTAAAGTTTTTTGCCGATATTACTGATAATCTTTTTTTTTTTCAAATGAGAAACAAATTAACAAGAACAAAGCTTTACCTGAAAACGTTTTCTAATATTCATGACGAAAATATATCCCGATAAACTATCAGAGATCCATATATATATATATATATATATCTGTTCAAATCATAACTTGAGCAACACGGAATATATACGTAAAAAACGATATAAATATGGCAAAAAGGAGGTGATTGATGTTCATACATACCAAAGGAGATTATAGACGAGGTCGATTGGGAATCAGGAAGAAAAACAACAAACCGAAAATGATTATAATGAGATTTCGAGTGCATATGAAATTTTGTTGTTTGCCCAAGAAAAATGGCCACCCATCACATCTTTATATAGCCTAGGACCTAGCAAAATAAGGGAAAATATAAAAAATTAAGGGAAAAAAAATTCATTTTACAGAGAGATTCGAACTCATATTAATAATAGTTCAGTAGAACCTCGAATGATTTATGACATGCAATTATCATGAAATAATATCTTTTTTAAAAAAAGGAAAAAAATATCAGTCTACACAAACGACATACCATGATGTATGAGATTCAAAATGCTTTTTACCTTTAATAGAATGAAGAATTTCCAGCCTGTTTTTTTCTTGTCAAATAATAATAATAATAACAATAATAATATGACCACATTCGAATGTGTATTTAGAATCTTACACTCATAAATTTACATAAATACTATGAAACTGAGCTACAGAGTTGATAAGATTCATATAATATGAATCCATGCAAAAATACGTCAAGCCAGCACGAAATCTGTTAAAATAAAATTTAAAATTTGCAAATTGCAAATTGGATTGGTCGTGGTCGATGTCTAGGGGTGTAAAATGCGTTCGGACCCGCGGACTGGCTCGCAAACCGACCCATATTATTCTGAGCTGGGCTGATTATAATTGAGCCCAGAAAAAAACGTGCCAAACGAGCCGACTCGTCACGGACTGGGCTCGTGGTGAGCCAGCCCGCCACGAGCCAGGCTAGCCCGATATAT